TTTTATCTCCCGCCTTCATCTCTCTCTTCATATTGCTCGCCGTGTTTCTCTTTTATCTCATCGGAGACGCTCCTGCATGGATTTGATTTTTTTAAATACACTCTGAAATATTCTTCCTCTCAGTTTGGCCCCTGCGGATGGATGAGCTGATCATGTAAACAGATACTCTGATATCTGGACGGAGCAGAAACATTAAGCAGAGAGTTTATTCTGAAATATAAATTGAACAAAAGTTGACTTCTGTTCAAAGAAAATGAGGCGGGATGAAGGTAAATATGCTTTAATCTCTGAGGGAGACATTCAGATTATTAGTAGGAATTTGTCGTGTGTGTGTGTGTGTGTGTGATTCAGGTTCTTGTCTTTGGGTCTGTGAAAGCTGTCACATGATGGTTTGAAAGAGTGTAAATATTATCAGAGCTGTTATTTCTATTATTGGTTGTTTGAACTCAAAATTGTGATAAAAAATCAAAATCCAGTCACGTCAAGTTATAAGCTCCCCACTGACAGCACATATATGACCTCCACACTGTCTTATAATACAGTCCATGAACTGAACGAGCACATTTGATAAAGCGAGGCTACTTGTGGCCTTAATTCAGCAGGACTTTTTACAGCCTCACTATGTTCCAGGTGAATGTACTTTGTGTTGTTTGACCAAATCTAAAGACAGCAGTGTTCACACCTGTTCACTCAAACAAAAACCTTCTGTCATAACCTCCAGGCTGCTTCTTGATCTCTCTCCAAGCACGTCCATGATTTGACTCGTTCATCAAGGAGTCGCTGATAGACCTTTTTCACAGCAGCCCTTTGAAAATAGTAGGATAAACACAGATGTTACCTATGGTACTGATTAAGGTTGTGTTCCATTCAGGTCAAACAGAGTCAGGATGCTGCTATTGTGCATGTTGGCTCACTGGAAAGACTCTGCTACACTGATAGACCTTTTTCCACCAAGAGGTAACCGACTCCATCTGGTTCGTGCAGTGTTTGGAACATTTTGACCAAAAATAAATTGGTTCAGAACACAAAAGTTTGACTGACGATAGATTACAACACTACTGGTCAGATTAAACACAAACCGAAACCTCTTCCCTGAATGAATCCTTAATACTGTGTTTTTGAGAGTCAATACAGCGTCACCAATAGATAATATTTCCTTAAGTGTGGAAGTTGCTCTGCAGCTGCTCTGGACTGTATTATAACTAAATGGAGGTCAAGATCAATATATCAGTTGTGATCACTGTAGTTACGGTTTATTGATGAAAGTGTTTAAGAACAAACAAATATTTTTTCAAATGTCTAAATAGATGTTTGTGTTTTGTATGAATCTCATATTTCAGAGTGTGAGGAGCTCTGACAGTAAATCTGTACGTCCTATCACATGACTGATGGCCAGTTTGACCTCCAATTGACCTGGAAGTTAAACCTCGACCACCCAGTGACCTTCCCAGCATGCTCTCTGCCTTACACGCTCTTAAAATAGCCACATTCACACACACATGCGCATACAGAAACGCACATATCTCTTCCTTTCAGCTGACAAGCTCTTTAAAAAGCCATCGACCCACCTCGCTGAACTTTACGACATCACACACACACATATACACACACACGCGCGCCACACACACACACACACACACACACACACACACAGACAGACAGACACACACCTCGCCTGCCGTGACAAGCTCTTTAAAACACCATCAAGTCACCCGGCTGAACTTTACGACACGGTTTCATTTCATGTTTATAAGACCCAAACACAGACACACACACACACACACACACACACACACACACACACCGATCACAACAAGTGTTGCATTTACCTACTCAGCCAGTACATGATAAATATGTCTGTTTGAGTCAAGGTCAAACACACCTCCCTCTGCACTGTTACACACACTCACACATATCCACACACAGACACACACAGCAGACAGACATGAAGACAGATTTGTCGTCCATCAACATAATGTTTCCCACAAATAAATTCCGTCTGCCCGGCTGCTCCTCGCCCTCACTGCGCACTTCACACCCACACACAAACACACAAACATGTGTGAGTCAATACAGCGAACAGAGTGCGTTTAGTAAAATAGAAATTGGAGGTAAAATATGTCAAATAAATGAAGAATATTTACTTTATTAATCTCCAGTGGGATAATTTTTTTTTCACTTTGATTGTTACCTGAAATACAGTCACTCACTCACAGACATCATACATGTGGAGAGATATAAAGAGAGTCCACACTCGGTACTGTGGACTTGAACTGGCAACCCTCCGCTTCCCCAAACCAAGTCAATGTACATTCTTAGTTTTAAAATTTTAACTATTTTAACTATTTATTATGACTTATTTTAATGTTTCATATTATATTATAATATTCACTTAATTAACTACTAATATATAAATAATTGTGTAATGTTTTCAGTTAATTTAATGGTGTAAAAGTCCAACTTCTTACCTTTCTACTGTTTTAACCATTTACTTTGTCTTTACCAGAGTCGGCTAAACGACGCTATTGCCGGTGATTTAGAAAATTGTATCAGTTAGAAAGTAAAAATTATATTTCAAAGGACTTTTGAAAAACAACTTTTAAGTTTATCACTCTTACAACCTCAGAGGGATTAAATCCAGGTTAGACAAAATGACCAAATTAAATTAATTAAATGAAGTTTCTGTAACAGTAAAACACTGTGATATCTGATGGCAAAACCTTTATTTATACTACATTTTAAAGGCATTATACAAATATTATAAGTAGTTTTTTTATATTACAGACTGTAAATTGCAGGGAAAACCACTGTTATAGCATCATATGGTATTTTCATACAGCAAAACTATTTCTGTTGATGGTAAAAACTTCTAATGTCGCTTCCTTGTTCATAAGGCCGGTCGGTCTAATGAGTGAATGAGTGAACAGAACTAATAGATACGTAAGAAATGTAGATACAAGGTTCATAAAACTGTTGTATGTGGGACCAGATGTCACCAACAATGGCAACAGTGGATGTTAATTATCTGAAGCTGTAGGGTAACAACGTGTGGAAGGTTTACGGATTTCACCTTTTAAAATTCCTCTCCTCCCTACTTGTCCCCTTTTTCCTCTCCTCTCCTCCTCATTAAGTGTTTGTTCCCCCCGATAAATAAATGACAAACAGTATGAAAATGATATTCTTCGCCAGATGACAGCCATTTTTCATCTCCAGCCCTAAACAACTCCTCCTCCTCCAAAGTGTTTGTCCGCCATCCCTCCATCTCATCCCTCTCCTTCTCCTTACCCCCCTCCCTTCTCCCCCTGTTATCCCTCACACTTTTTCTCTCGCATTTTTTATTTTTTTGCTCCGAAAAATTAATCACCTGTCTTTGTCTGTGTGTGTGTGTGTGTGTGGCCGGCAGGAAGCCCACAGAGGTTTTAAGCAGCTGATTTATTGCTGAGTTAATTCATAACGGCGTCCGATGATGATGAGAGGCCGCAGGAAAGTATGGTCGTCACTGTTGTTGTTGAAGGGTGAAAGAGAGAGAGAGAGAGAGAGAGAGAGAGAGAGAGAGAGAGAGAGAATAAACAGAGCAGCTCTTTGATATAAAGTAATAGAGTGGAAAGTGATGGAGAGGATGGAGGAAAAGAGGAAGTAATGGAACAAGGGTAAGGGGAGATAGATTTTCAGGTACTTTTAAAATGAGGTAATACAGTAAAGGAGGATCAGGGGATGAAGTGATATCAGATCATCAAGTTCTTTATTTTGATCTGAAGGAAAATCACTGAAAGTCATCAGGTGATGTCGTCCGCAAATTTGAATATTCTCATATCTACAAATTGTCATCTCCTTGTGCCAGAAGACTCATCTTTTCCCAACCCTGGAGCTGGGGTGACAAGAAAATAGTCAAGTCAGTTTTATCTAATATCGCAAGTCACAAATTTGCCTCCGGGGGCTTTACACCCTCTATCTTAAGACCCTTTATACGGATAACGAGGATAACTTTCCCCCAGAAACTCATTAATGGGGGGGAAATGGAAGAAACCTCAAAAAGAGCAACAAGGGGAGACTGAAAAAGATAGAAGTAAAAAGAAAGGTCTTGTGTGTAGGATTTATTTGCAGATTACCACTCACTACTTTCACCCTCTCTTTCCAAGCGAGCAGGAGAAACGATGGTCTCCATGAAACACATGAACAATAGCCCCATCTAAAGCCAGCTTTTGGTTTGTCTGTTTTGGCTTCTGGAGAAACATGGTGCTTCAACATGGTGACCGCCACAAAAGGCGATTCTGAAGTTACAAAAACACAACAATTTTTATTTTCAGGTGATTATACACCAATGAAAACATAGCTATGAATATTATATTACATTTCTCCTCATAGAGCCTCCCTTTAAAGCTTGTGTTGTTTCTGGTTAGTCCATGTTGGCTCTACTGTTTTAATTACAGAACAAAAAGTGTTACATGTATGGAGCAAAGTAAGGAAGCCTGCCTGGTACTGGGTGATTTCAGTTTGATTTGATCTCTGTGGATCTGCTGGCTGCTGCTGTGTGCCAGAGGAGTTTTGTTTGGAGATTTTGGAGAGTTGACATTGCATGCTTTAAAACTAACGGTTTAATTTCTAAAATCACAACGGGATTGAAAGTCAAGATACACCGACCTCTGCTGCATTTATTTGGATCATTGTTTTAATTTTTATATCTATCTATAGTGTTTTCCCAAACTTTATACATTATGCAAAACTAATTCGCCCCAGGGAGTACCCCTGTAAGATTGTGTTTAATTATTGGTTTAACATGTATGTTTAACATCTTTTTTTACTTTATTACGGCGTTTTTTTTTTGACATATGGAAAAAGGTCTGATTTATTTTTACAATATATAGTCAAACACTTATGGACTGAAGTTGATACTGACACTTGACGTTTTGTCTCGTGCAATGAGAAGTGAATCATATTCTGTCTCTCATTAGAGATGAACAGATTTCTTACGTCCTTTCTGTTCTTTTCCCTCCGTCCAGGCTGCAGGCTCTGAGGAAGGAGAAGTCACGGGACGCGGCGCGATCGCGGCGGGGAAAGGAGAACTTTGAGTTTTATGAGCTGGCCAAGATGCTGCCGCTGCCGGGTGCCATCACCAGCCAGCTGGACAAGGCCTCCATCATCCGGCTCACCATCAGCTACCTGAAGATGAGGGACTTCGCCAACCAGGGGGACCCGCCGTGGAACCTGCGCATGGAGGGACCGCCGCCCAACACCTCCGTCAAAGGTAGGATGGACATGGCTGGAGGACTGGGTTTGTCTTTGAACTGTTGTATGAGGTTCTGTACAGTTCCAGGGAAGAGTTCTTTAGGCAGCAGAAAAACAACAGAAGGCCTCTCTAAGGAGCAATGTTTCGTTGAAGAGTTTTTCTACCACAGAGCAACAAAAGTTACAAGAAAACATTTTTCTTCTTTTTTGTTTCTTCTTGTTGGTTTTTTGATCGTTTTCATCTTGCTTTTGCCTTATCTTTAGCTTTCCCTCCATTATTTTAAGTCACATATAAAAACCTTCTGAGCTTGTTCCTTCAAGTCGAGTCCTTGCAACTGACTTTTTAAAATAACTAAATATTGCATATTGGAGCTTGAAAGCCTCACTGCTGAAATAGTTCTGAAATACATAAGCTAAAAATCATTTCTCTTGTATGCCAATGCTCCATTGGTTTGATACAGCTGTGGTTTCAACAAAGCTGTGCAACAGTTGTAAAAGTTGAGGGCACATTTCACTTTGTATGTTTTGGCAGTTTTGCGAGACTGCCAGTGAAGTTCATCATCTGATCACTAAAGGTGCAGTTATTTGTCCAAAATGCTTGGTTCTGTCTAGGGATGGGAATCGAGAACCGGTGCCAAATGATCCGATCCATCGAAATCGAATGCCCCGGAGCTTATTGATTCCTTTTATCATTGCCAGCATTGTTTCCTGACATTACAAAAACAAGTACATTAAACTCAATCATTGCTGTAATCCTGCAGAAAGAAGTATTCATGGCGAAGAAGAAGAAACGGTCTGTAGCTTCATTTCACAAAGAGACTCATAACTCAGCTCTGAGATAACAAAAAAGTTTCATTGGTGCTGAAAACCTGTGCGACCTACTTATTTCTGCACAGAAATAAGGGAATTGACAAAGAATCAGAGCGGTTAGCAGAATCAATAATGGTATTGGTATCAATTCCCATCCCGAGTTCTGTCAGTTCAAGGTGGACTTGTAGATCTGATGAGATGTAGTTGGAGGCAGCTTTCCTTGGGTTAAATCTGAAGTCCATTCAGATGAACAAACTGATCAAATCTGACTGTTGAGTTTCTCTACTTCTTCTGTTTGTCTCTGTGCATTCAATGAGTCATTCAGCATCAGGATTATTAAGAATGGATTTGTGAAGTTGGGTCATTTCAAACTTGTGTAGACATACGTCTTTGCCTCAGTTTAGTTACACCTTTCCAAAGACTTTGTATGCACTCATGCTGCCTTTAGAACTCCCCGTGGAAGGTCGGCCTATAATTAATGAAGGGTCTTTAAGGGTCATTGTAACTAATAATAATTGTGCAATACTGTGATATTTTCTGGGGTTATCGTACTCTGAAAATCTCCCCTACCCTAACACAAAACTTGAAATAACGAGTTTCAAAAAGTTGCATATTATTGCTTTAAAGTATCAGTACTTAACATCACTTCTATTATAAAAGATAATTTTTTTGAGATGAGAAAGTTTTCATGATTTTTGACCCAAATTACCTCAAACTTGCTTTCTTTTTCAGACCCAACATTTACGCTCATTGCAAACTTTAACCTCTCATTTAGCTTCCATATAATCTTGTCTTTGTATCTTCAAGCAAACCTTTTTATTCTAATGAATCTGAACACACAAACAAAGGCGTACCGGGCCGTTTGAGAGCAGCGCTGCAGTGACTGTCTGGCCCCTTTAAACTGCTATCAAACAACATGGAAAAAGCTGCGGAAACACACACACACACACACACGCACACAGACGGCTAGCTTCTGCGCTAAGTGATTTTCTGTGAAGGGAACATTAAGCTTTGATGAATTTCTGCCTGGAGTACCAGAGTATACACAGCACTTGTGAATCTAAGTGGAATTTGCCTTTGAAATGGGCCCTTTGTGCGACGCACTTAGAGGAGAAGAGGAGCGCTCGCTTTTAAAAGGGACGTTTGGGCTTGTAGGAATGACCCAAAGATGAAAGCAAATTGCCTGAAATTTCTGGTGGCGTGTGTGTGTGTGAGTGTGTGTGCGTCTAAAGAACCAGAAGCAGGATATTTACCTATATGCAGTGCTGTAATGTTCACAGGATTGTAGTTCTGTACATGGGAATGTGTGAATACAAGTATGTGTGTTTGTGAAGGTGCAATAGTGTGTGTGTGTGTGTGTGTGTGTGTGTGTGTGTGTGTGTGTGTGTGTGTGTGTGGAATTCTACACATGAGAATGCCTTTGAATGTGTGTGTTTGTGTGTGTGTGTGCACATACTCTCGCCACACAACGGCAGATGGCATCATTGTCGTCAGCGCTTTGAAGAGGCACATGCATTTTAATGAACAGAACAGAAATGTATACACCAAATTAGTGTGTGTGGCAACATGGTGTGTGTTGGAACGTATTCCTGATACAGTTACACACACACACACACACACACACACACACACATGTTTGTCTGACTTCTGATGGCCATCACTGACACCTGCCCCACCCCCTCAACCTAAATCTGGTGAACTGCAACCGAACAGACATGATTTGGGGTCTCTAAAATATTGACAATGACCCTCCAGGACTTTTGGGATTGTTGATTTCACGGCAGCGTTTCTAGAAAATGGCGACACATGTTGCAACGTTTTAAGGGATTTTTTGTGATGAGTTGTGGGAGAAAGGGAACATTGCAAAAACAGTTGCTAGTTAATCGAAGGCAACTTCTTCCAGTGAGAATAAAATCGACTGTTTGGAGGGTAAATGTGAGACGTTGGCATCACACACGTCTGCATCTTCAACACTAGAAACAGGAAGGTCAGTTTGGTGACGTATGACTCAACGTTTTGTGAAACTACAATTATTGGTTGAAATTCCCAGAGATTGATTGATTTCACTGCTCCTTGGAGCGACTGCAATATGCTATTTTACCATGTATTACTTCATCATTATTGTGGATTTATGCGTAAACTTTGGCTACGATTGATGTATGATTTGTGATCACTAAATTACTTTAAAAAGGATTCTGGTATTCTGAATTCTATACTAAAATGGCAATGTTGTGTTTCCAGTTTGTTGTGCTGCACCTGGGGGGCCAGAAAATCTATTAATGCTACAGACCAATGTACGGTTTCGACAGGCAAACACTAACTGAATCAATTGAAATGTTAGTCCATCACTTAAACACTTTAAACTTAATTAAGAATTGAGCCTAATGGACAGATGTTCAAAATCATTATCAACTGGCCGTCACATTCTTTAACCCTCATTACAAACCTGCGTCTGCAGTTAAACAACACGCAGGTGAAAACAGATGGATTTATTTTCGAGTGTAAACTTCAACGTACAGCAGACCACAGGAAGGTCCCCACTGAGATACAAGAACAACACACACACACACACACACACACACACACACACACACACACACACACACACACAGCAAGGTGAGGCCGGTCTCACCTTGTGTATGAATTTCACACATACACACACACACACACACACACACACACACACACACACAGAAAGAGAGAGAGAAAATGCAATTTAATCAGATTGTACCTTCTACCTACCACACACACACACACACACACACACACACACACACACACAGAACAACACACAGACACACACACAAGAACACATAGAACATGTACAGTACACGATACACACTCTGAGTACACAACCTGGTATCAGGCCAGTGTGTGTGTGTGTGTGTGTGTGTGTGTGTGTGTGTGTGTGTGTGTGTGTGTTCTCTCTCTTATTGACTGACTCTAATGAATGAATATCCTCCTCCAGAACTGTGTGTGTGTGTGTGTGTGTGTGTGTGTGTGTGTGTGTGTGTGTCCATGCCTATGTGACTTTTTCCTTTGTAGTTGTTTACTGTGTGTGTGTTAGAGTGAGTGTGTGTGTGTGTGTTGCAGAGTGTTCAGTACAGCAGAGAGTTATTGATTTTGGCCTCTGTGTAGCTGCTCTGCATCGGTTCAGGTAATGAAGATGACTCTGTGTGTGTGTGTGTGTGTGTGTGTGTGTGTGTGTGTGTGTGTGTGTGTGTGTGTGTGGTATTCCTCCTGATGACTCTTTCTGTTGAACCCACTGAGAATATCCTCATTTATTGTGTTTTCGTCGTCCTCTCTCCCTCTTCCATTCATTTTCTCCTTCTCATGACTTCTTTTATTTCTCTCTCTTCCTGTATCTCTTTCTGCTAATCGATATTAATATTTTTCTAAAACATCTAAATGAAGCACCGCTCTCTGGAATGACTTCACTTTGATTTATTTGGGACGCGTTTCTCTTGCAGCTTACTCGGCAACATTACCTGAGCGCTCACAGGTGGGCCGCATCTGGGTCACATGACCAGCCGTCAGAACTGCAATCCGATGGATCAACCACCAATACCAATCAGCCAATAATCATTTCAGTAATACATATGAATGGAAATGATTGATGATTGACAGCAGCTGAGAAACAGTAACGTGTGCAGGAAGAAGATGTTGTTTTCCAAACAGTGAGCTCCAGCGGGGAGGTGCAGGTAAATAAATGAAGCGCTCCTCTGTATGAGAAGCTATCAGAGATGAAGCTGTTTGACCTCCAGTCTGTTGACTCATTATCACAAACTGTCCCTCCTCCTCCCTCCTCTCCCTCTTTATCTCTTTCATCCCCACTATTGTCCTCTCCACTCCTCTCATTTTCCTTATTTCCTTTCTTTCCTCCTCTCTTCCTTTTAGATCCTGTCCTCCCTGCTCATCCTGCTCTTTTCTTCCTCAGGTCTCTCCCCTCTGCCTCCCCCCTCCTTCACTGCTCATATTTAGGCTACATGTTTTTTCTGTCCTTCCTTAGGTTCTTCCTTTTCTTCTCCTTTACTTGTATGTGTCTTGTCTTCCTCCCACCTCCCTCTCTCCCTGTCTCTCTTTCTCTCCTGACTTGACATGTCCTCCTTGTTTCTTGTTTTGTCTTCTCCTATTCCTCCTTTCCCTCCTCACCTCCTCCTCTCCTCTTCCTTTCCTGTCCATTTACCTCCCTCACCCTTCATCTTCATA